CTTTATCACTCATCAGTATAAAAAATCTCGAGTTGCATCCGTCTTTCTCGTCCCCGTATTAAAATTATTTGTCGCATCTTTTTATGTTCGCAAGAAAACGTCCCAATTAGGATTACTTCACTCCGGGCGCGTAAACAACATAATCTGTTGTACAAAATACCATTCAATACATTACATTTCGTAATATTTCAAAAAAAATCTTGCTAGCGTGGCGTAGTACGTACATACGTATATGGATAACAATATCCTCAATAGTTCTTAGGGAATTGTTCAGACAAGAGAGTACAGGTGTGATTTAAGTTTGACGTTGATGAAACGATCCCAGTTAACTTACAGATACGAACTTCACTTCTTTGGCCCTAGACCACCGTGTCGTCAATGACCAATATTTTTGAAGAGGAGACAACAATAGATCTTGATATGTGGCAGTAGTTGTTGTGACTTGAAATTAAAAACAATTTTGCTTCCTGTACATGTATTTTAAACTTTTTTTTTTTGCACTCTATTACTATTTAATTAACTATTTATTTTTAGCAAGTAAATACGGAACTTACGCTCGAGACTAATTACTTTAACTTTTGGATTCACTTTACCGTCGACTTATTAAATATTCACGATTCTATTTTATACTTTTCCTTTTTTTGTGCAGGTGACATCAAATCGCTATACTATCAAGATAATGCCTTTGTAGTGACGCCAAACGACTATGGTAAGTTAATAAAAGGAAATAAAAGTGCTCCTTCTCCGGAGTACAGGGAGGGATCGTACCGGTTTTCTTGTAAGCGCGCCATTTTCGCACAGATGACTGCTTAAGTTTACGATGCGAGCCAGTCGTGAACACCTCGTAACAAATAAAGCCGCCCGAAAGCACGTGAGAGCACTGAGAAACAACTATACAATTGTACACATTTAACGGCATACCTATATCCGATCTACGCTGGAATATTCGTTTTCCGCATCTACATGCTAGCAATCACCAACAAACCCAGATTGCATGCAATAGCGTCGTTTTATGTTAATTTGGCCCGTTAACAAAAGTCAGTCGCCGTTTAAACAAGCATGTTAAGGTTAGTTTTAGTCTATACAACTTCTTTTCGTTTTTAATAAACATTTGCAAGCCTCTTGGCCTTATGGTGATGTTATATACTAAAGAGTAAGCAGCTAATTACAAACCGTTTTATCTCTTTATATGTTTTCTATTATTTACAATTCAATTAATTTTGTGCAATTAATCTATGATCGATTACGATAGTTTATTTAGTCTGAAAGAAAATAAATATATCCTAAAGAGAGTGACTTGAATCAATGTATTTCGGAATTTGTACCAAAATTTTAAAAGAGCTTTTTTTGTGCACCGAATTTCGACAAAAAATACATATTTATAATTTAAAATATGAATTAGTAATAATTGACGAACAACTTGCCTGTTCAAACTAGTTTTTCAAACAGACATCTGTATAAACATGGGCAACAAACAGTTCGTTAACTGATGTAAACAAATCAAGCTTTATGGTTAGTATATTTTTTAAAATTAAACTTATCTCAACTTCCTCCGTGTAATCCGTGAAAATAAAACAAATTTTAGCGAGGACTCGATGTGAGTTTCGACGAGCGGGCTATTAGTTTATGAGCATACGAGTCCCACTCAATCAATGATATTGACATCTGGCTAATAGAGTTTCGATGACACCGTGGGTGGTGCAGCTTTATTTATACGTCAACAGTCATATTTATTTCAAACGAGACGCGTCCAATCATGTCCATAGTTCTCAAGCTGAAGGTACTACGGACTGAGTGAAGATTGCCCTGCCGCAACGAATATAAAAGCACAGCCTCGTACAGACAGAGCATTAAAGCGTAGAGCAACCCCCACTGGATGGACACCTGAGTGGGATGTCGATGGATGCTGGTGGCTTAGGATTGTGCGTCTTGGCTGCCATGTGGGAAGAGTTCAGCAGTGGCTTATATTTAGCAGTGAACTAGAACTAGCTGAAATGATAATGATGATGGTAATGTAATTGTATTCATTTACATAAGCAAAAAAATCAATTAATTAACCATAATACTGCAATATTACTGAGGTATAGAATATAATCATAATATAGGTGAGTCGGATATTAAGAGTTCTCTATATTAGTGATGTTCTCGCGGTTGCATTTTATAAACGGTGTAGCTTATAAAAAGCATAGTCTATCGAAGACAATGACCTTTTTGCTGCCGCTAATTCTCGGCCACCTCAATCATGTGTACGTTCGGCGTCTATTTTTGTCGGTTTCGTCACTAGTCGAACGAAGGACGCTGAAATGCGTTTGGGTTTAGGATAAAAGCTTTCGTACGTGTCGCTCCTCCGCCGCTATAAAGGCGCAGCCCCAAGTTTACGACCCCTGCACTCGCGCTGCATAGTAAATTACGCAATTCATAAAAGAGATAGAGTGCTCGTTAAGGTGCTATTGGGCCGACCCATTTAGACTTTAAAATCAGAACGCAAACACGTTATCGATTTAAGATGATTATAATTCTCTCTAAAATCGAATGGACGATTGGATAATGCTTCCGCAACATCGATAAGAGTTTGCATATATAACTCTTTAGATGTTTCAATGTCGCAGCTCTGAAAAAGTGAAGACGGCCTTTGAGTTTGTCGAAATAGACTTAAATACAGTCTATTTACGCGCGTCCATCAGTAATAGACTCGGTCAACGGCCAACGTTTGCGGCGCGGGGACTTTGATCTTGAAATTTTTAATTTATGTGACGTTTTAAATACGGACAGAAGGTTGTAAATCTAAATAATTCACTAACGTATTAACTACCCGGCCAAGGACGGAGAATATATCGTTTGACAACCTCTGAATTTAGTATTCAAGACTACATTAGACAAGATGTACCTTCTAAGAACAGGTTTTTATAGCAAAACTTATCTAGACATGTGGACAAGTATATACATTGGATAAATTAGTCCAGCAAAAGTCATTCTTTATACAAATAAATATTTATTCCTAATAATTTGATAGTAATAATTTGAAATTTTATAAGAAATTTTAAGTATTACTAGTTATACGATAATTTAATTATTGTTAATATCGTATATATATTAAGCTCACATAGATTGTATTAACGATCAAGTTACTGCTATTTATATCTAAGTAAATAAACGATGAAAAGATTATAGAGGCATTCCATGAACGAGTTAGGAATGAAAAATTAAAAAGATGCAAACCTTTTATTGAGACTTCTAAGAGCATTCTATAATCATATCAGCTGTGTTCATTCGAGCACTTATGTCCCTAATGCAAAAGACGAAAGGTCACCGTTATATAAATAAGCCTCCCTTTCTCTATTTAATTATTTATTAAGTACTATATAAATCTGAATGATTACTCTATGTTTAAAATCTATTTAATATTGCATTAATATTATTACTGTTATATTATAGGTAACTTCCATGTTCTGCGTTGGAAGCACTTGGCAAATTAGCACTGTCTTCATTACACCTTATAACTCAAAATAGGACTGTGTTGATTATTTCTGTTCAAAAATGCGCATGGTAACAACAAGTACACACGTAACAAGTTATACTTCTTTAGCGGAACAAACCAAAACTAATTAAAAATTTGATCCCCTGTACTGGTACTCTCTCTTAGTGAAAAACACATTAAATGCAATTGATAAGGGTTTAGTTAAATAACTTGGAATTGTAGGTAAATGTCAAAAAGTTGTTATAAGTTGTTGCAAAGCGAACGGTTTCAAATAAATTCACGGTATTACTATCATGTCGCTTTTTGGGTGTCGGTGTGGCGTAAAAATTTTATTGATTGTTTTCAAAACGCGCCATAAGAAAGTTTGGCTTCTAAAACAATCGAATAATTAAATGCAATTTGTGATGAAATTAGTCAACACAGTTTAGGTTTAATTAATCAAAGGTTACGGTAGATCATTCAACGTAAGGTCGTTTATAAACCTTTTTATTACTGTTTCGAGCTTGTTTTCTTGACAGAATGTTATCTAATTACAAAAGTGCTTATTTGATATTTATTAATTTTTGAGCTGCAATTTTGTTTTAAATACGAAAATTATCGCAACTATTTAATTACATTGAATATAGGAGATTGCTCCAAATTGAGTAGAGGAAGTATGCAAATTTGATTCCTATTTCATACGAATTTAAAGGTACATTCAATCGGCAAATGCGTACAAAGGCACTCATTTGAGTACTACAGATAGCCAATATCTAAATTGCATGCTTTATTTCGCTCCATTAGCGCACGCGTGTTGAATTGGAACGTAAACTGACCGCGTCGGGGCAATTAATGATATCGGGACTCCGTTCCAGCAACCGGTTCAAGTGCGTAATTCACACGTTGGCGGCAAACCGTTCTAAAATATCCCGCACAAACACAGCCGGGCCGCTCAGATTGCCGAATATTCAATCGTCGCCGACGGAAATGCCGCCCTTGCCAGAGACGTAGCGGAACAACGCGTGTACCGTTGTGTCAACGGAGCCAGCTTGTTAGAGGTGGACTGCATTCCGCGGACCCTCAACATATCCCAAATGGGAGCAAACTTAAGGGTTATTGTTAGTAACGCCAGTTACGTCGATAAGCGATCTCCGAATTAGCTATCCGAGCGGAATGAAAGCAATTTGAAGACGACCCTGTTTAATGCGACACCCGACAATAGGCGACGGAGTTGAAAGGCAATTGCCTGAGTTTAATAAGTTTACGGGCCATCCGGATTTAACCGTTCCTCGCGCATCGACTCAAACGTAATAAACAATGCTCGGGACGTCGAAATTCAGCGGTAATAAAGCAACCGGAATATTTTTGATGCGTTCATAATAAGCTCTCGTTTCCCTGTTGCTCGTTGCAACTTTATTGAACAAGAACGATAAGTTTTATTATTTTAATGGGTTTACATGAAGAACATAATTTAATAAATGTATTCAGAGAGTACATAATTATGTAAAATAGCTATAGTTTAAATAAATTCCGATAAGTTTACCTCTAAATCCGAATCTAAGCCATCCAAACTTGAATGTAGGTCTGACCGCCGGGAGGTCCTGTTAGGCCTGCGAGTGAGGCTGTTGACGCCCATCAGCTTGCTAGACCTGCCCAGGGTGCCGCTCCCGCTACCCACAATTTCGGGCTCGCGGAAGGACAGCTTCTTTCTGGGTCTTTCACTCGCTTCTGGCATTTGCACGTCCAAGACGAGCCTGCCATTGGCGGGCAGCACGTGCCGGGCTTGCGCGCATACATCCTCCGAAGACTCGAAGTGCCGCCTCATCGGGGACACCTCCCCTGGGTGACTGCCCCGCAGGTACTGCAGGTCGTCTTCGTACCGTTTCAACGCGCCCACCGAAAGCGGCCGTGGTCTGGCTCCAGAGCAGTACTCCCGCTGAGCGAGCCCATCGACGCGACTCCTGTGCTTGTTCGTCCGCACCTCACTGAACTCCGGCTCCGATCGGCTACTTTTGAGCCGCTGGCCCTTCTTGCTTTGCGGCTCATGCTTCTCCTTCGGCCGCTGCTCGTGCTTGGGCTTTAAAGCGCCGCCGAGCGAGACCAGGGTGCTGCGCGCCTTCAGCAGCACCTCCGCAGGCAAGTGCTTCAATAGGCCATCGTTCTTCCGACTCTTGTCGTGGTCCTGTTGGCTGGACATGGCGGCCTCTCGGTCGGTGTCGTGGACATGTGAATTATTGCGGGGGGCGGTCTCCGGCGGCGGGCGGTGCGCGATCTACCGCTCCCGTTCCCACTGTACAACTGAGGTGGCGGCCGCATGGTCGGCGCGTGCGTCGCCCGCCGCTACAAGCACCGCAAATAAACACATTCGCGTATTCTCAGCGCCCCCATCTGAGTTACGTCGACCGCGCGCACCCGAGCCGCGGTCCGCGCCGGTTCGGTTGAATGACACTTGAGCCTTGGGGATGGACAACTAGTAGCATCGACTTCCCGAAGGGATTCAGAATTTGATTACCAAATTTATTCAAAACGTTTTGGTTAAAACACTGGAAAGGGTCGTGTGTCAGGGTCAGATGATGGGTGATGTATCAGATCGTGACTTTCATAAAGACTTAGTCGCTTAGGCCAATCATGAAATCAGAATATTAAAAGATATTTTTTTTTCACAATGTCAAATACTTCCATTTTATTTATTCAAATATATGAATTTATTTCAATATTGGACTATTAGTTAAAGACGCTTTAAAAATTCTATCGAGTAATAATAATTCTGGTAAAGGAATCCCAAAACAAAACGAAGTGTTGTAATATAATTTATTCAAGAGTCGCTCTATTTTATTTTTTACTACTTTCTTCGTAGAATTCGTGACTGCCGAGATATAAAATCGTTACTGGTATGATAACTACTACTAAGTTACGATGAACCACACTACACTCGAAACTTGGACCGCATTAAAATACCATGCAAAAATGCATTAACCAGATAATAACACCTCAAAAACAGTCTGCCAGATTTTTTTTTGTTCAGATAATATAGAATATATACAGATAGAAACCGAACCAAATGTTATATAACACATTGAAACGGTAATGAATACCCACTCCCGTTAGTTACTGTCAGATCCCGGATATACAAAGATATAAAAATACAGCTTCTTCAACACGCCAAGAAAATAAATTAATCACTAAAACAAAATCACCGAAACGACGAACGACCACTCGTTAAAACTTCCAAACAATGCTCGGTAATTAAACGAGTATTGAATATCAAAGCAAACAGTTTCCGAATGGGGATTAAACAGCGCCGAAACGCGCCGGGAAGGTCGAGTCGTTCCTACTCTGTCAGAAAACTTCCAGACTGGAAGGCTTAATTAAGAACTCGCTATCGCCAACGATGTGTTAGCGGTACCTAATCAGCGGAGATGCTGTTACGTGAATTATCGCTCTGCACTAGTATTTCTTTCGTGTAATTTATGCTACTGGCAGACACACCACACAGTTCCCCCCGACCGCCGTTAGATACGCTCTACACATCGCGGCAGCGGCAATGTATTCTCTTTCGGACGGATTGCGATTTAGAACCGCATGTTTGTAAACAAGCCAAGTGAGAATGGGGATATGTTTAGTGGCTCGCGGCATTACTGTACAGTTAATAAGACGGTTTGAAATTTGTTTGGTCAATAATTTTAAATTAAATTTGCACAGCGCATAATTATAAGCCTTCTGTAGTAAGAGCGCAATGAGACGCATCGTGGTACATGTAACATAAACTTGTAGATGTTTCTGCCCTCGGGTTAACCTTAATTATCCAAAGATATCGCGTGCTTTTGATGTCTGAATCAAAAATTTACCAGCGTTCAACTTTAATTACATGTCATAACTTTAAGTGTAAAGTAACTTTTCGAACAACAAGTTCAAAACTTGAAGACGAAATTATTCTTACAGTTACCTTTAGTTAGTTAATCATAATAAACATACACATTTCATTAATAAATAAATAGCAAATAAGTACCCTTCTTTATTGAATAATTAAAACCAAAATTTTCTCTCCATAACGTAGTATCATATGCATATAAATTATATGTACTCGTAATGTAGAAGGCATCCGTAATAATCTACGAAGAGAGCCTTTGTCCAAAATTTCTACGAAATATACCATAATATTGCTTTATTTGATACACATTTCATGCTAAAATTCGAATGATTTTTATACGGAGAATTTACCTATCAATAAAAAGAAAGTGATATCATAAATATACTGTAGAAGGTCTCCATAAAATATCCGCGCCTTTGTCTAAAATTTCTATAAAATATATGATACTCGTATTGTTACTATAAGACACTCATTTCGTGCTTAAATTTTAGTGTTTTCTGTATGGGAAATAAAATTGAATAAAACGATAAAAAGAATTGAACATTGCAAAACTTGTTTCCGTTAAAAACAATGAATCAGATGCACAATGCAATAATATCTATAATAAATATAGATTAAAACATTTTCGCTTAAATACTCCGTTAATTATTTAATACCAAATCTGTGTCTCATAAACTTAATTGTTTACGACATTTTAAGGTGAAGTTAACTTATTTTATAATGATCTTGGTTTATCAATTATTATATCTCTATTACAATAATTGATTATATGTAATCCACTATATATTGAACACACATATTGAAACCCTATTTAAACCCCGTCGAACTATATTAATTCAATTCTCTGTTGTAAGACTCGGATATCCGTTGGTAGTTATTATTTGCGGAGTGTCTTTTGACAATGCAAATATTTAGGAAACCACCGGGATTCTAATCAAAACTTTTCCGACTAGACTCACCTAGTATCCTACTACTCTATATCATAGACTTTGTGTAAGAGCTTAACGTCGGCAAGCGGAGCATGGAGTTACCGCTAACAGTCAAAACGCACGATAAAATTCGCAGATATCAATCGGCGTAATTAAAATGCTGCCGCAAACGATCGTCAACGCGGCAACGCGCCGAATTTTTACGGCGTGCCGGATCGACTGATTGCGGACGTAATTGATTATAAAAGTCAAATGGGAAGCGGAATAGAAGATTTACAATGTCTACACGGCGTCGGTGTTTGCGCGCGTTAACGCGGCGGACGGAGCGGGCGCTTTGACGGCCGAGTGGGGGCGCGCTCGCGCTGACAGATTTAGACCGCGCCGATAAACAAACTGACGTTGCCGATAACACGGAGGTACAACATTAGAGCCCACTTTGGGCTCGTTGACTGCCCGTGACATAATTGGTGACGGTGAATCTGACGAAATCGGAATTTTACATTTCATTTACGGAATTCTCCTTTACAATTAGAGTATTCGTAGATGTTTCATTGGTTTGAAATAGGGCGGATCGCCCGTAATTTATTACGGGCTGGCCACAACGTAGTGAGAGTTATAACCATCGCGCCCTTCGGGCCAACGTAACTGTTCATGGTGACCAGCTGAAAACATTTCTAGGATGGTGAAATCGACATACAATTAAGCAGCGGTGATTTTTTATCGGAGTCAATTCTTTTTACTACTTTCTTAAATTAAACCGCATTCTGATCTTTCGACATTGACTATTTAACACATTTTTTGCCTCGCACAAAAACCCATTCTGTAGAAATAGCTGTCACCGGCGGTCTTTTCAAACTGATACGACCTGGGAAGCTTCAAGACCATACAACGTATATCCAATCCCTCCGGTGTTGCAGATGTCCATGGCTGGGGGTGATCACTTTCCATCAGGTGAGCCTCCTGCCGGTTTGTCCCATTCTTCCATATAACAAAATAAATACGAATTGTACGTGTATAATAAAAAGTTCAAAGCATAAAATCCACTTGACGATATTTACATTACATTTTTGCAAGTTGTTCGGCGAATAAATGTCCGTTAAATTTGAAACTTTTAGCGTCGTTATTCATTATGGAGCCTCATTAAAAACGGCTCTGTGAATATGAATATAAATAAATTTATGAGAGGTCGGACGTTTGCTTCTGGGGTCGAATTCCAGCTGAAACCGGCAAATATACATACGCTGTGTTAGCGAGCGAGCCTCATTATTAATTTAAACTGTTTTTTCACCGCTTCATAAATTGGCTCCGAAAGATTCCGTTTCGTTAAACTATTGAGAACAATGTTTCTACTTTTCACGTATGCCTGAAGAAAGAGAATTACCGTATTTTTTTTAACCTTCTCGTATTGTCGCCTTGTACACACGATTAACGTATGTTTAATGTATTTAAAAACTTAAAAAGATTTTTAATGTCAATTCCATTCAACTTCGGATACTCATATATAGTTAGCCTCCTAACATTTCTACTGATCACCTAATAAATTAATCTGATAAATATTTTTGCGAAATGATAATAAGTTAACATAACTGTACAAACATGAATAAGAGTCGCAACAGACAACACTTAACGGCATATAAGGCAGAGCCGACAGTAACTTTCAAACAGACGTTTCCGATATGATCGTGTCATAAAATGATAACAGGGCAGAGCGGAACGCGAACCCAACCGGCGAATACCGTTCGAACAGCAGATTAGTCGCTTTGATCTCCATTATTTATACGTAACGTGACCAATAAACGGCTAAATATATCAACGTATGATCCTTCGACATTGCTGCAGGCGAGGACTTCTACTGGGCTGTTGCGCAATACATTTGCGGATTCTAGTGGCGACTCAGATTCGGCCTATATTTAAGATATTTCTCACCTGTATGACGCCATGGATTGGGGCAGAGCAATCCCAACGCTTTTGATTTGAGACGGCCCGTAACGTCTGTTGATATAAGCGATCCGGTGGAAAATCCCTTTAAACTCGTCTTATGATATATAAAATTACTTATGAAATGAAGCGTATCGAGCAAAACTCTACTCTAACGCGAGTTTTGTTTTATCATAAATGATGGTCAACTTGAAAATTGAATTTTTTTGCTTGTATATTTTCTTCTAAACCCTTCTACAATTCAAACCGTTCTAAATATTGTATTCATAAATCTAAAACTGTTCTATATATTTTATCAAGTACTCTGTTATTACCGTACTCCCTGACCACGAAAAGTTTCCGACGCGTTGGAAATCAATTAATTAAACCAAATCAGATACGTTCCTAAATTAATATTCTTCTTTAATTATTAAATGGGAAAAATAATTATCTATCGAATTCGTTTCAATTGATATTGTTATTGTATTGTTATTTTCCAGTATGTGTTATGCTTCCTACTTAGTATCAAATATATACTTTCCTTTTCAAGTGCTTATTATCATTGTGTTAAACAATTCTTTCTTGGGGGTGCCCTATCGTATCGGATGTCGGTGACCATTACACACAACTCTTATCAATTTTGCGCCAGTCTGCAAAGATTGACGGTGTCCTTGTCTGTCCATTTTTTCAAATTGTCACCCAATGAGTAACATTAGAAATTAAACAATTACAAAAGTTATAATACCCTTAAAATATAAGAAGTTCAGTGTGGATTTGCATTTCGTTGTTATAGCCGTGATAATACATTGACATCAAAACATCGTGAAACCTGCATATTTTCGAAATATTTAGAAAAAAAATTAAAGACTGATCTGCAGAGATATCTGTCCTATACATGTTCCAATGTATATGTATACTCTGTTACTTTACAAACAATAACAAAAGTTATTATACCCTTAAAATATAAGAAGTTCAGTAAGGATTTGCTTTTTGTTCGTATTTTAACACATGTAGGTATAAATAACATGTATATAATACACATTAAAATTTATGATTAGTTTATAGTTAAATTTGTAATTTGTTTCAACTTTCTTTCAAGCCTGGAGAGGTTTTCATAAAAAAATATACATTAAGTCTTAATATTTTTCCAGGGGCAACAAGGGAAGTAGTTTTTATAGGTAATTAACATACATAATCATAATTCTAATAGTATACACTATATAATTTAAAAATGATTGTTTTGGGTGTTTAAACGTAGTAGTCATTTGTACACATAATACATAATCTAAAATGTTCAGCTAATTTTATTTTACGTATACCCGCTGATTGGTATACATACTTATATATTGTAATGTATTTGGATCGAAGCAGTAATTGTGCTACAGGGAAAATGAATTCTACCGCCGAATTCGAGACTCGTGATTTTTGCATTCAAAATGAAACCATCTGAATCCCTTAACCATCGGTATCGTATTTATCGGACGGTCTAAAATTTTGTCACATTTTACGTAACGAAGCGAATTAGCAAAATTGTCAGTGCGTATTCAGTAAGGGAACAGTTACAATATATAATTAAGATATGGCGTAATTCAGTAGAGTATTGTTTTCACGTTAACCTTAACTACATATTCTGAATAAAATATGGTATTACAAATATATTTAATTTGAAGACTCCGTAGCGCAGTTGTCCAGGTATTGGCTTCGGCGTCGAGGATCTTTGTTCCGATTCCCACATGCGACAACTATTTGTGTGACCCACAGATAGTTGTTACGCATCTGGGTGTTTGTCCACATAAAATTTATGTTGGTAAAACGTCCTTAAAACACAGGATAAGAATATTATAAAGTAAGAGCAATGTTTCAAACGAAAAAAAGTATTAGGGAGTTTTTTTGATAATAGATCAATTAAAAAAGTTATAGAGATTTTGGGGTATAGATTATGAGGCATGATCGGCCAGTCTTATTAGATGCTTTTAAGGCCTTACATATAAGCCATAAAAATATAACAAGGTAGAATTAATATTTTTGTTTGTTCGTTTATTAGTTAGGTAACCTCAAAAAATTGGAAATTACAACATCTCGAATGTTGAATATGTTCAAAGGATGCGGCAATTGCCAGGTGTACCGACCTATTCTCATGTAATAACTAGTCTAAATTCATCGTGGTTTGAATTGAATTTTTATTGTATTAACTTATCCATCGAAGCTTAATCTATCGATTTGAACAAAAAGGACAAATCCTTCGTCATTTCCATATTCTGATTTTCCGTTATATCCGTTCACGACACCGGAAGCCCAAAATCGACATCTGAACAATGAAAGCCATTGTGCATGAGCCGTTTCGTTCTGAAAAGCCGTGATTGAATCTCGTTTTCAATGACCTCTTTCACCCTTTGGCTGTATCTGGAAATCGCTTATTCTCATTCTCGTTATCAACAAAAGGTTATGATGTAACTAATAAAAGACTTTAACATAACAGCTAAATTAATTGCAATAAAATTTCACGGCAACTAGAGAAACCATGAAACTCAAGTATGCAACTATTGACTTCATAAAATAGCAAAAATTAAATGTAAATTCTAACGCAGATTCTTGCAACCCGAGCCTTATCTACATGTAATACTGTAGGAAAGGAAAACGATTAACAAAAATTTTACTAAATTCATATATTACGCTTACTACTTTGCGACATTGTATTCTTGTACCTTAATTTACATACCTTCGTCGCTCGAGTCTACTTTGTAAATGCTTTGATTTTTTGAACGAAATTGATTTTCACCTTAAATCAGTTGTCGAAAAAATTCTAAATTTATCTCTTAATGAATTAAGCAGGACTCAAGTTACCAATTGTTTGGGGTTCGCTTTGGCGGTATTGGTATAGGAAAATTTCTAGTGTCTCTATCTGCCATCCTAGCTCCGTGCATAGCGTAAATAATATAATTTATGTAATAATATGCTAAATCAGAATTCAAAACTTTCCTATGCCGGTGATATAAGGCTGTCTATCTGCTACAACGAAAATATCCGACTGGAAATAAAGCAACAAAAACAGTAGGATCTTCCTTTGTGATACAGATAATACAGAAAAATATTTTTCAATCTTTAGATAGCAATTTAGAGCGTGCCCATTTTCTAGTTGTCTCATCTAAAGAATCGAGTTATTGGGGTTTTACCATCAAGATACTCTTTACCATCAAATAATTTTGGCACATTATTCAATGATGAAAGTCCATAGGGCTCTTGTTTCCATCAATGTGCCTTCTATTTAAGATCCCGGTGGCATTTTTCGCGACTATGGCAAGAGAACCGACGGCATGTGTTTGATACCTTAGGAGATTATAGCGAAATTTTCGAAAGGTTTACTTTATAAGCTTAACACTGTGGCTCGTGACAAGAGGGCTAGTTCTCGAAGTTCGATCGAAGGTTAAGCATAACTATTTAGCGAGGAAATACAACTAGCGTTCATGGCACCATGCCGCATGGACTAGGTTTGTAAGGTAATATAACTCACATTAAAATGAAAATTACATGGTATAACAAATATTGTGTCTTCGATACATTACAATTATTGCTAAATTGTTAACATTTTTATTACGATAAGGTTTAAGAAAAACTGATTGAATGAGTCTCAGACAAAATCCAATCCAGTAGCTATGAGATATACAGTTCAGAAATAGCCAGAAAACGACTTGGTTATATGTTTAGGTTTGTGAACTGTAATGTTAATGAGCATGTACCACCGCGAGTGGAAAACAAAGTGGAAATCTGTGGTCTCAATTAACTGGATCGAATATTAAATGCAGCGCGGGCCTGCACTTACCTTCTTGCTGCTCTTGAAGACGTTGCACTTGAACTCGTTTGTCGCACCGTCCCTAGCGATGTAGGAGAAGATCTTGAGATCGGAGCTGTCATGGGAGACGTAGAAGATGCGGTAAATGGGGTGGTTCATCAATTCTAACGTCTCACAGCTGGTGTCGCTCTTGCGGCGGCGGCTGAAGAACTTCCTCTTTCCCTTCTGCAAGAGATGATAGAATACAAATTTAATGCTCATGACTATATTGGTTAGTACACTTTAATAGATTTGCACAGTGGTTTTGGCTCGTATGAATAGACCAGCTGAACCAGAGAAGTTGTTATGCGTTAGTTGTTGTCGATTTCATAGAAGAGCGACATGAAGTAGTGGTATTTATAATATCGTTTCCGTGTGCGTGAGTTAATATTAGATTGTCCATCCTAAACGTCAGAAAACCACCTGTAAGCCAAAGACACAGATGTAGTTGATCAGCAGCGATCATTAAGTATCAGGTGAATCGTTTTTTTTAAAGAGATGGTAGTAAGCTAGGTGACGGTTCCTCTGATGTTATGTAACAACCGCTACACATGGACTGTAACACTAGTGGTATTATAGATGCGATGGAATCTTTTAAAAACAAGGCCTCGCTTCTTCATTTACTAGACGAAACGGAACGGTATAATACTTCCACTTTACACCAGTGTCCTATTAGGCCCTTGTATTTCCCTGGACGTGTCTGTCGATTCGTAAAATTGCAAAGGCTGCTGCATGGCCCTACGTTATACTTGAGTGTCTAGACACTTCCCTTTTTTAATTCATTATATTTTCTCAGTTAACATACTTTTTTATAGATTACTAGCTGTGCCCGCGACTTTGTCCGCGTGGAAATTTAAATAAAAGTAGGTAGCCTAAGTTACTCCATATTACGTCAGCTATCTGCCAGTGAAAGTCCCGTCCAAATCGGTCCAGCCGTTTCAGAGATTAGCCGGAACAAACAAACAGACAGACAGACAATTTTTTTTAAAAATTTCGATTTGTTTACAGAATTCCTTGCATGCTGACTATTTTTCCCAAAAACATAAAATTAATTAAAATAAGCTATTTGCGGTAAACTACTGATATTTGCAATAATCCTAAAAATTTTAATGCTTCACAAAATAACTATTCTATGCGGAAGAAGTCGCGGGCCAAAGCTTGTGCTATACATATATGGCCTTTAAATGTTACAGAACCTTTCTGTAGCACCCTGTATATAACAGCCAACTGAATTGTTTTATGAAACTAAACAACATGTCCAGTTCAATACTGAATAACTACTCAAAATTCCCGGAGTTTAGATTAGTATTATATTAATTACTACTATATTAATCAATAATATTATTTGATTTTGCATGATTTTTGTAAATCATCGAATTTTTTATGAAAGTATATTAACATAATTGAAATCGAGAGGTATTTGTGGTTAATTCCCTTTTTATTATTTAAAAAGGAAATTAACCACAAATAACTCTCGAAAGCGACATGCATAAGAGAAAAGCTTCCAATTAGGCCATGTTCGCTGGGAACTTAATTACAAGAGATCGCTTGGGAATTCCGATGGAGACTACAAGGACTATTACAGAGTAACTACGCTGATGAACGTAAGTATCCATTCCTTTTAGTCATACGTTCATTTTTTTAATTCATTATACAAAGTTTTAAGGTATACCGAATAGAAAAGAATAAGGTTCTAATTTTACAATAATGACAGAATGATGTACAAAAACAATTGGGTAAAAGATACTTTTCGCCCCTTTATAAATAAGAGCCTGTAGAAAAGAATTGGTCAGTGTAATATGGATAAAAATGTCCAAACTTACCTTCATCCAGTTGGTAAGCTGAAACAATAGTTTTCGTTTTGTAATTATTTATATCGAATACCAGAATTACAAACGATGAGAACTCAAACTGATATGATTGATTAACAAAAAATATTTTTCGACTATAATTACTAATCGTCATTTTTTATTCATTTGCGTTACTGTATGAACTATTAAGTAATGTTATGTCTAACTAGCGGGTTGTCGGGCTTCATGTCTTAGATATGCCGGTTTTTTCCCGTTTCAACGTGAAACACGTGCAAAATTAAGACTGAACATCATAATTCATAACTTCTTTGGTAAAGAATACGTTTCGAACTCTGAAGCCATACGAGTATACTGAATTACAAGCCAAGGCATTCAGTGGCAATGCCCGGTACAGAGCCTGTACAGGGGGATGAAAAGGTAGATAGAGCTATCTATACACATTACATTATATTGACTTTGGTGTTGATATGGTTTACCATTATATATCACCAAACTGACAAAATTTTTTTATCATTTCGATAAAGGAAGATCTCGTAAAATATCACGAATCTATTCGGCTTCTCGGCATTCTATGAATATAAAGCGGAAACATTGTACTGTCCTAATGGTAAATAAAATTAAGATATTCGTGGACATTGCATTCGTTACTTTAATTTACTTTTATGAGATTGTACAAAATCATTCATAAATTGAAATTAATTAATATTGTAGACAGACAATGTACCGATTAAGTTGGTTTCAGAAGACTGATTAAGGGAAAAGATAAAAGACACTGATCCTTTGGTTAAATGGTGGTGCTACAGCATAGGTCTAAGCCCAAGCGTTAATTAATTTAACGTATTACGAATATATCTCGATGAAAGATCCGATATCAATTACCAATTATAATATAATATGTATACGCGTAAATAGGCATATATCTCTTTAGGAACAATGTGTCTAAATCAGGTATCGAGCAAGTCAAGGCATATATGGTCACATCATTTTGGTAATAGATGAGATTTATAATTAATCGCTGATTAGCAAGCTTAACTGATTTCTAATAAGCTGGGCTAAGCGCTTCCTCCAATGAAGACGGGAAAAGCGAATGCCTAATTGAATAGCATTCAGGACGAAGTTTTGAATTAGCAATGAACCTTCAAAATTTATAAAATCACACGTTTTAATGGGCGGCAAACGATCGCACAGGGCGCGCAAATCTCCGCTTGGGGGAAATTAAGTAAACCCACCTTGGGCTTCTTCTTGGTACGCAATGTCACCCGAACGCCGTTTGTTGACACGTCCACAGTCACCTTGCGTTTCTTCACGCCCTTCGACTTGAATTCGTACTGCGAAATAACAAGAGCGTCTTATTATTTATACACATTAGATAATTTAAAAAAAGTAAGCCATGCGCACATCCGACAGAAGTGAAAACCTAAAACGTAACTGTGTTTTCTTTTTTTTAAATAAATTTTAGTATGAATAATTAACATCACCAAACTCCAATTAAAATTGCAAGATACCTCTTATATTATTTATGTCAATTTAAAACTAGTGTTTAATTGCTAATTGTTCATTAAAATTCAATTTTAAAATAACTACACGCGAAAATTTTTTAAAGCCGCCAACGGCAAGGGCAAAACACGAGTAATTAGCATGTGTGTGACGCTAACATGGAAGCATTATTGTCCCTCCAATAACGACATAACGAAAAACTATACCGTGACGGCGCGGGACTCATTTGTAGATCAACTATGGGTTATAAACCGTACCGCGAGGCTGTTTTAGCGATGCAGCCTTAGCTGAACTAAAATAAGTTCATTTTGTTTGACGGCGCCTGATAACTGTCAGTGAGAGTTATGGTGTTGTTTATTAACAATCATTTGTATGAACGTGCGGCTTTCATGTTTAATTAGGGTTCGTCGGTACCTTACTCTAAATAAAGGTCACGAAAAAGCGTTATGTTTTATGGGGAAACGTTTATATTCATCAGGCAGCGGCGACATAACGCGTGATATCATTTTAACTCTTCAATATGACCGAATTGATTCTGCAGCACTTGTTTGATAATGTTTATACCTTTACGTTCATGAATTCTATTTAGGCAAGCTTTGAGTCATTCCAAAATGTATTATATTGTTACGTGTTAGGGGTTCGAAGGATTTGGAGAGAAAGAGCTGCTGACTCTTTTGAAGACTTTATTTACTAGCGCTGGGTCCAACACAAAGCACTAGGTCCAAACACTAAGCACTAACGATGTCCTATTTTGTAGCCAAGTCGTAGGTTTCACTGGTATCGCTCTTGATCACACTAGGTTTCACTCCGAAGTCGCCTCGAAGGTAGCTCAAACTGAACTGTCTTCGCTCGCCTTCCCGCGTCTTTTTATATGGGCCGAGAGCGGTTCCAGACTAATCCAGAAAGATCCTTCCTGGAACGTACCCGACACGCCCGAACATGTTCGTGATTCCGGAAAGTTCGCGAATGTACCCGGTTTTCAAGACTATAGTTCCACAGCAGTTCCTCTAACGCCATCTAGTATTGAATAGGGGGTTTTATGTCGTCTTTGTTCTTTAGTGATTTTAATAGTTGACGCTAGATGGCGTTAGTTCCTTTGTGTGTTCATAACACTACTCCCCTCTAAGAGATGCTCGTCCCGAGCATCATTGTTACTGCCATGGTAACGCGCCAGACGGTCTATGTGTACCACTTTGAATGTCCCTCTTGGTTGCTTTTGAATCCTATAAGTCACATCATTCAGTCAGGTAACCACTTTGTATAGACCATCCCACTTGATCTGCAACTTTGGGGATTTCCCTTTCCGACGAGTTGGGTTATGCAGCCACACCAGTGATCCTTCTTCGAAGCCGTCCGTGTTCGATTTCCAGTCGTATCTGGTTTTCATGTTCTCACTTGACTGTAACCCATTTTCCCGAACCAAGGCGTGTATATAGCGCATTTTTTCCCTTAAATTGCAGGCATAGTCTTGTACGGTCTGTGGTCCCTCCGGTGACCCTCCCGTCAATAGGTCTACTAGTAATCGTAGTTCTCTACCGTAATTGACATACGCCGGGGTAGCTTTTATGCTTTCATGCTCGGCGGTTCGGTACGACAGAAGGAAGAGTGGTATATACTTGTCCCAATCCTTTTGTTTGTCGTCTACCAATTTCGCCAGATGCCTCTCAAGGGTCTGGTTAAATCTCTCTACCATTCCATCAGACTGTGGGTGGCACGCGGTGGTCCTCGTCTTATGCATGCCCAAAATTCTACACACTTCCTGGAATACTTGTGATTCGAAGTTCCTGCCCTGATCGGAATGGATTTCTAGAGGCACACCAAAAACGACATATCACTTCTTCGACTAACTTAGAAGCGACTGTTGTAGCTTCTTGGTTTGGTATGGCGAACACTTCGGGCCATTTGGTGAAGTAGTCCATGACGACCATAAAATACTTGTTTCCCGATTCCGTTACAGGAAATGGCCCAGCTACGTCAACTGCAATTCGTTCCCACGGTGCACCGACGTTATACAACCGCAGGTTCCCACGGCTTCTGGTCTGTGGTCCTTTTACAGCAGCGCAAGTAGTACATTTGCGGCACCAATCCTGTACATCATCTCGACAATGCAACCAGTAGAATCGTTCTCGCACTTTTGTTAACGTTCTCTTGACACCTAGATGACCTCCTGATACGCCATCATGTATTTCACGGAGAACATCTGGTACTCTCGTTCTCGGGACAATTATCTGAAGATGGAACTCTCTGCCGTTAGTCTTCTCCCATTTCCGGTAGAGTATTCCGTTTTGAAGTATCAGACTGTCCCATTGCGCCCAGTACGCCTTAGTGACAGCGCCAGTGGGTGCAACCTCACATCAGTTTGGTTTTACATCGCCCCACTTCTTCCATGTGATGATGTGCCGCAGGTCGTCGTGACTTTCTTGAGCCGAGAGGCTAATTGAGAGATCATAGCATCATTCTCCCAGAGACCCAAAGGACTTGTCCTCGTTAGCTTTAATGTAACTTCATTAGATTCTTGCTTAACACAATGTTTGCAGTCTTCCGAACACGGCCTTCGTGAGAGTGCGTCGGCATTTCCATGCGTCATTCCGCTGCGGTGTTCCGTCTTGAAGTCATACTCCTGGAGCTGCTCAATCCATCGAGCTACTTGACCTTCCGGGTTCTTGAATTGCAGTAGCCACTTCAAGGCTGCGTGATCAGTTCGCAGTAAAAACTGTCTGCCGATGAGATATTTGTTGAAATGTTGTAGCGTCTTTACAACAGCCAAGAGTTCTCTTCTTGTTACACAGTAGTTTCTCTCTGGCTTGGATAACGATTTGCTGAAATATGCAATAACAACTTCTCTTTCACCCTGTTTTTGAGATAACACCCCTCCAATGGCCGTGTTGCTTGCATCTGTGTCGACTATAAACTGACCTTCAGATTGTGGATACCCCAGGATTGGTGTTTCACACAGTTGTTTCTTCAGTTTCTGAAAAGAATTTTCACAAGTCCCATCCCAACTGAATGGTCGTTTATCTTCTGTCAGCCGATGTAATGGCTTGGCTATCTCTGAGAATCCCTTAACAAAACGCCTGTAGTATGAGCATAGGCCGAGGAATGCCCGCACTTCGGTTTTGTCCTTAGGGGTAGGCCATTTTTGAACTGCTTCCAGTTTCTCCGGGTCTGTCTGAATTCCATCACTGGAGATAACATGGCCGAGATAGTTGACCTTGCTCCTGAATAAACGACACTTTTTCGGGTTCAACTTTAATTTGGCTCCCTCTATTTTGGCGAAAACTCGCTCCAAGTTTCGCAAATGGTCCTCGAAGTCACGGCCGACAATGATGATGTCATCTAGGTAGACTAAGCAAGCCTCTCCAACTAAGCCTGCAAGTACACACTCCATGAGTCGCTCAAATGTGGCAGGCGCGTTGCACAATCCGAAGGGCATGACGTTAAATTGCCATAAACCTTTACCGGTCGAGAAAGCTGTCTTCTCCTTGTCTTTTGGATGAATTTCCACCTGCCAGTATCCAGATTTCAGGTCTAGGGTCGAGAACCATTTCATGCCACTTAAGGTATCCAAAGTGTCGTCGATTCGAGGTAACGGGTAACTGTCCTTCTTAGTGACATCATTGAGACGCCTATAGTCCACACAAAATCTCGTGCTACCATCTTTCTTCTTCACTAACACAACAGGTGAGCACCACGGACTTGTAGACGGTTCAATAATCTTATTCCTTCTCATGTCCTCCAAAAGGCCTTCAACTTCTTTTTCCTTTGCAATTGGTATCCGTCTTACTCGTTGACGAATTGGTCTTTCGCTTCCGGTATCTATCCTGTGCTGAACCATCGAAGTTTTTCCAAGGTCCCCTTCTTGACTGGAGAAGATATTCGCGTAGCGCTGTAAAAACTTCCTAGCTTTAATGCCCTGCGAATAAGTCAGATTACTCTTGCAGTCATCGAGTAGCTCAGTCACTAATCCGTAGTTATTGCTGTTTGCCGAGTCTGCGCCTGTAACCGAACTACACTTTTTCATCCAGACAACTTCCTCGCACTTTCCAATGACGTCACCTTTGTTCAAGCAGACCTCGCGATCACCAAGATTCAAAACCTTGACCACAGCGTTACTGCTTCCACTAACAAGGGTTCTCGCCGTCATCAGTTTTTGCGCTGATGTCTTGGTAGGAGTGCCTTCGATCAACACGCATCTGTTTGACACCTTATTTCCAGCTGGCGGAAGTTTCACCAGCACCTGGGCTTCCGGTCGTCCAGGTATAATGACTTTCTTTACATGCGACTTTCCCGCAGGTGCCTCCGAGAATGAAGATTTCTTCTTCACCACACTCGAAAACTCCGTCAGCGACATTAACTCTGCAGTTGTGTTTCTTCATGAAATCCAAACCAAGGATGCAATCATCCACAATCTCAGCCACAATGACGTTATGAGAGTATGATGACCCCCCTACATACATCGTGACTGACATTTCTCCCAAGACGGGTATTGGCTGACCGGAGGCAGTAAGGAGCCGGCAGTTAATTCTCCTCTGAGTCCCCTTGAGGCTTTTACCAGTTTTGGGTTCACTATTGTTCTAGAGGCTCCTGTGGCTAGAGTCATTTTGCAATCCGACCCGTTAATAATACCCTGAATCACAAGGCTATTCCCGCTGCATGCCTGGGAGATAACAGTTATCGGGGCTTCCTCCGCGTCAGCCAGTACTCGCCCCTTAGTACTGGCTTTTATTAGTTTCCCTGATCCCGGGCAGGGGACGAAGCCTCTCGCTTCTTCAGCTCCGCTATTTGTTCCTCGATCCATTTCATCCTTGCCATCTGGGTCTCCTTCTGCGGG